TGTATATATATATGTATATATATATATATATATATTTTTTTTTTTACTTCATTTTTCAGGAGTGCTGAATTAAAACTTAGATGTGCTTAAGCACACCCAAAAAAGGGGTTAAAATCGCCACTGGTCCAAATTATATTTAAAAAACTGCATTTTATAGGAAAAAAAAATGGTGTAGTTCTCCCTGTAGTTCCCACATTCCTCCAGTAGAGGCGCACTACAGACACAGGTGTGTATTAGAGGCAAGTGGAAAGGAAGTAATTTCTTCTACACTTTTATTATGACTTTGCCCTATGAACTTGTCTGTAAAAACACGTTTATCAAAGAAAAGAAAAGTGTAGAGTGAGTGCCGAGTGTTTAAAATGGGGTGGACAACAACATATAGTTTCACTGAGGTCCAGTCAAAGAGTTTTTATGACAAGAACCTGTCGCGGTTTTCAAAGAATACACTTTGCTAACTGCTAACTATGCTAGCAAGCCTTTATCCAATGGTGATTTTTTTAAATAAACATGGTCTAAACAGAGCAGGCCTGTTGTGTCCGGAGGACCAAGACAAGTTAGAAAGAATCAGTTTATCACGCAGGACTGGGACTCGTCTTGTGGAACCGATTGATGAAGATTTAGCAAAATAAGCTAAAAGGCAGAGAGAGTCCTTTAAGTTACAGTTTACTGGATGAAAGCAATAAATGACACTGCTCATCTCCTTTTTTTTTTTTTTTTTTCTGCGGGATTAACAACAGTTTTGAGATAATGAAGGTGTTTTTGACCCTGGAGTCTCTGAAAGGAAAAACACGGAGAAGATTTTTATAACCGTCTGATGTCATGAGAGAAAGAAGCTTCTGTAGAGTAAAGTCACAACGTCACAACGGACACATCACCAAATTTAAGTGGAAAACATTCCGGGCTGCTGACAATAATCCAGGTTAAAGTGAAAGAGGAAAACTGACCAGGATGCCATCTTATTTGTAAAAAAAAAAAAAAAAGAAACTGTCCAGATGACCTGACTGAAAAATGTTGGATTTTATACCTGGATTATTGAGCATGGACTTTGTTGACCAGGATGTTGTTTTTCATCCATCAGGAATCGCTGTAAGTCATGCTTTGTGTGTGTGCATATGTGAAACTGTTAATTGTGTGTGAATTATTGTCCAGGTACTCTGTCTGCTGTGATGCTGCACAGAGGAGCTGCAGCAGGAGCACGTCTGCTTCATTCCAACCAGCTGACCTGTCATCAACTTTAGATCCTGTACTTGTAAAAAGTTTAGTGAGCAGTTTGTGGAGGTGAGCTGACACTTTATTTAGACGTTTCTCCTGTGTTCCATGAGCACAGTGAGGTAAGAGACTTGTGGTTTGGTTCATTTGATTTTTCTTCAGGTAAGAGAAAATCCAGTGGTTTGTTTTGTTTGTTGTTTGGGCCTGAAGTTGGTAAAACTCCACAACGTCAATCATTTCACTATTGTCAGTAAAATCACTGTTCTATCATATAATCTGACTTAGTGGCTGCTTGAGTGGTGCACAAGGTGGAATCGCCCATAATTAATAGCGTCCCAGCGGCTCTTATTGTGCTGGGGTGTAACATCACACAAACACTCAATCCAACTGTTCCTGGCACTTGGCTCCAATTTTAGAACTCGGTGTGGCCCGCGAGTCTGAAAGTTTGCTCACCTCTGTCAACTCCTCAGCTGTAATACCATGATAGATTTAGATCTCAGAAAAAGTAACTGATTGGCTGGCTTACCAGTGGGCATGTCTCTGGATGGCTCAGCAGTTGAGATGGGTGGAGCTGAAGGGGTGGAGCTAATAGCAGAATTAGCAACATTGTTACTAATCCCAACTAAACTGGGCATGTTAGCCATCGAGCAAATGATGCTGTCCAAGGTGAGAACACCTGAGTCAGCAGCAGGCGTGGAGAGGGCGGAGCTTACAGCAGCTGGGTTAGCAACAGTTTTAGCAGCTTCTGCTAACCCTGGTATGCTAGTGGAGACACTTTCAGCCAGGTTATCTATAGGAGGGGGGACTGATGGGGTGGAGCCTCCAATGACCGCAGCAACACTCGCCAGAGAAGGAATGTTGGTGGAGATGATGTCAGTTATGCTGCTTAAAGTTGGGAAGACATCTTGATTCAGTGCAGTTGAAGCTGGAAGGGGCGGAACATTTTCACCTGAGAGGGATAAGACAATGACATCATTATTTGTACGACACCTGTCAATCAAAAACACTTGTTTCTGTTCAGGACTGATGATCTCAGACCTGTTCTTGTGTTCAGATCTCTGAGATCTTTCTGTACTTTCAGGTTTAAGAAATCCAGTCAGGCAGCAAACTAGTTTCTGGAAAGAAGAATGTTGAGCTAAACTGGTTTGATCATTCACATTGAAACCTCTTAGCAGTTTTCTCTGGTGTCCCTCCTTCGGCTACTCAAACTCAGTTCAATCAATTCAGAGAGTCAGAGTCATAGTCAGAGTCTCTTTATTGTCATTCGCTCCTCATGTGGTACATGTGGTGGAATGAAATTATGTTCACAGGGTCCCAGTTACATCCAACAATAAAATGTATAAGAAAAACAGTAATAACATCTAAGATATGAACTAAGAAAAACATTAACTAAATATACACTAAGCACTCATAACATAAAACATTGAACATCAGCACAAACATGAACATGAGTCTGTGAGCAGATGTGCACGCATGAACG